TATATATATATATATAATCTTTGTTTCCCACTTCACATATGAGGAGACAGGCTGGGCAAGTGAAGGCACTTGCTGGGCCACATCACTCCCTCTTTTCTGGAGTGCTTTCATCTTTGACTGCACAGATCATGCCCCAGATACTTTCAGGATCTGAATATGCTAGGGACCATGAAGAAAGGGTTTAGGCCAGGAGCCTGAAGTCAAGTGAAGGGCTTCAGTGTGAAGTCGGCACATACTTCTGACAGGAACTGAGTGGCACTGTGCTGAGCCGCTGTCGCACCAGCAGTGTTCTACCCGGTTGCTTCTGAGCATGGGGCGTAACCATGACTCACGCTGTTGGTAGGACATCTGTGTTTGCTCATCTCTGCAGGCTGCTGCAACACAAAATAGGCTTGTCTCTTCAGAATGGAATCCAAAAGAGAGGAGAGACTCACTGCCCCCGGACCTCCTTCCAACACACAGTCAATCCTCTGAATCCACAGGTTCTGTGCCCACAGATTCAACCACCTTGGCTAGAAACTATAGTGAGCCTTAGCGTGGCACTTTGGTGAGGCCTATGGCGACACTATGGTAAGGGCTGAAGTAGTACTATAGTGAGGACTGAGGTGGCATTACAGTGAGGGATGAGGTGGCAGTCCTACAGTGGCACTATGGTGAGTCCTACAGTCTATCCGGAACATGTGTGAAGTTTTCCCTTGTCATTAACTCCTAACAGAACATCGTATAATGACAGCATTTATAGTACATTAGATATCACAGGTAATCTAGGAATGAGTTAAAGCATATGGGAAGAGGTGCTGGGCTTTGTGCAACTATCATGTCATTTGACAGCACCAGTGGATTTGATATCCTACAGAGGCCCTAGAACCAATCCCCAATAGATACCAAGGGATGACTGTGCTCTGTTGTGTATGTTTTAGGAGTACAATGAAGGTAACAAATGCCTAATGTAACAAAAGACCCCTTTTATTATTATTATCTTCCTCTGATGAGTACTTGTTTCGAGATAATTTGTCTATGAAAATAAATGTATATAAATAATACTTCATTTCCCCATTTTAATTAATATGAGAGTTTCTGATCCACATGAGTATTACCATAGAGGAAAGATTCACTTTTGGTTCAAAATAAAGAAAACTGGTGTTTTGGTGTGTCGGAAAGTCTGCTACTTCCATTAGTATTTTTCATGTAATGAAACTATAGCAGGCACTTAGTAACTGCTTTTCTGAAAAGCATTAACTCTTCACTTGAACCACAAGGTAACTCTGAAGGCAGGATGGAAGCCTTGTGTGTGCCTTCATTATTTGTCTACTCTGAGTCAGACTCCTGCTTAATTCTGCATAGGTAATGTTACTCAAGTAGAGTCCAGCTCAAAACCAGTGATACCTACCTAATATCATTCCCCTTCCATCTGAAGGAACACAGATTAGAGTAACTGAGGCATCTTACTGATGCTTTTACAATTCCTGTTCCAGTTCTAAAAGGTGCCAAAAGATCTCCAGTCATTTTCCTAAATCTCCAGTCACCCTGGATTCCAGTAACAGCAGAGCCTTGCAGGACAAACCCCTCTTTCAACCACCACCACCAAATGAAAGCAATTACCCCAGGTGGTGAGGCTGAACCTAGAGGAGCCACAATCATCTCACGGGAACCAGACTCTAATGGGAACCACAGATTCAAGCACGTTGGCACAGGCCACACCTTGACCAGAGCTGCTTCATTCTGCACACCTCCGGTCCTTACCCCAACTCCTCCTCTACCTAAAGTTCCTGTTAGCATCACAGAAGTAGAGCTGGGGACACTGAAATTCCTTATTTGTCCATTGCTTTGACTAACCCTTTCTCTGCTTTTCACCATTATCTTTTTGTAAGATTGGACTGTGTGGCCAGGCTCAGCCTGTTGGCAGTTGTCAGAGCTAGTGCTTCTGCCCTAAAACTCTGGCTATGAAAACACCCCACAATAGTCTCTTTCCACCTTTCTCTCTTTTCAAACAATGTCAACTTAAAAATATTTAATTTTTAATTAACTGAAGGAGTAAAAGGTGAGCTGGGGGTGTAGTGCAGAGGCAAAGAGTTTGCCTGGCATGTGCAAGGCCTTGGGTTTAATCCCTAACACTTGAAAACAGAGCAACACGTCCTCACTGAGAACAACACTCCTGCTTTTGGTGGAAGCCTGCTGAGGCCATCATGCCCTTGTAGGAATCAGTAGGTGATTAACAAGAATGACGGTGGGACTCTGAGGGAACTTCTACTCTGAAGGAAGTGATGAGAAGCCTTCCACAGCTAGGCATGTTGGTACAAGTCTGTAATCTCGGCACGTGGGAGGCAGGAGGATTGCTGGGAGTTAGAGGCCAGTTTCAGCTGCATAGTGAGTTCCAGTTCAATGGCCTATATAGAGAAACTCTATCTCAATAGAACAAAAACCCAGAAAACAAAAAAAATTTAAAAGAAAAGAAAATCAGAGAGAGAGAGAGAGAGAGAGAGAGAGAGAGAGAAGAGAAAAGAAGGAAAAGCCAGAAAACTGTGTAGTATATTCAGTGTGTGAAGCCCTGGGTTCGAGCCCCAGCACCTCTTCACCCTAACCAACACACAAGAAAGAAAGGAAGAGAAGGAAGCCAGGCATGGTGGTGCACTCCTGTAGTCCCAGCACTTGGGAGGCAGAAGCAGGCGGATCTCTGTGAGTTCGAGGCCAGCCTGGTCTACATAGTGAGTTCCAGGACAGCTGGGGCTACAGGGAGACCCTGTCTCAAAAAGACCAAAAAGAAAAAAAGAAAAAAAAGAAGGAAAGAGAGGGGATGGAAGTGAAAGTCTCCTCCCTGCCCCCCCAAACAATCATGGAGAGAATGAGGGCGGCATCCCCTGATAGTTTGGGACCTGAAGCTGGGCACAGAGTTCTTCAATTCAAGTAAAGGAAGTCAGCATTTATTTCACCCTTGGAATCCCAGTAGAAATGTTCTTGGCTTTCAAGAATCAACTCAAGACATGGAGTTATGGAACAAAGTTCTTTCCATGGTGTCTGTGAGGTAGCCCAGGTTAGTTACCCTCACCTTGCTAACAGGAGGAAACAGAAACACAGAAATATTAGCAGATGTAGAGCTGACCCTGAGAGACCACAGCCTGGAGCACCCCAGAGGTAGCTGGGCAGCCTTAGGCAAGTCGTTTAGTATCTATCTCTGTATCAAATACTTTGAGCAATGTTGAGACATTGTCTTGCTATACAGCCCATACCGGTCTTAAGTTCATGATCCGCCTACCTCATTCTCTGGAGTGCTTGAATTATAGGTATATACTATGACACACAGCTCTATGTCACCAGTTTTATGATCTCCTGACAGCCTGATTAGGTTCCCCTGGGAACCTAGCTGGTTGGCACCAGCTGTTTGGCTACAGTGGGTAAGCAGGAATCTACACAGAAGCAACTGGAAGATTTCACCCCCACCTAGTAAGCGGGTCATGGACAGAATATAACTCCCTTGACAGTCAAAGCATCCTAAAGCTTGACCCTACCTTCACCTCCACCCCCACACCCACCTCTCACCTCTGTAGGATCGGGCTCCTCTTCTGAATCTACCATACATTCCCTGCAAAAAGGAGGAAGGGTCAGTGCAGGCTGGGGAAGACCAGCAGGAGGTCTATCAGGTGTTATCTGCTGAGGTGAATGGCCCAGGAGGAATGTCCATCCCTTGCCTTCTTCTGAAATCCTCATTCTTTCTATACTAGTGCCATCCAGAAGAACTTTCTACATAACAGAAATCTGTGCTGTCCAATATGGTAGCTACTGATTCCGTGTGGCCACAAAGTGCTTGAAATGTGCCTAATACAACTGATGGACTGAACGTCCAACTGTATTTAATTCATTTTAAATTTAAGTAGCTGCACATGGTTAGTAGATTCCAGAATGGATGGGAAACCTGCAGCTTCCTGTATCCTTCATGTAGCCATTGGGACACTCCCTTCTCTAAAATTGCTTACTTGGACTTATATGATTCCCTTCATTGTGGTGCACTTTTGATAAGTGTGACTACCTTCTGACCCATCCATCATCTTACCAACTTTAGTGACTCATGACAACTGTCCTTTATAAATATCTTATGGATGAATTCAAAAGCTTTTTGTGTGTGTGCTGGGCACCAAGCCCTGGGCCCTATGCATGCTAAACAAGCTTTTTGCCACTGGGTCACACCCTGGTCCTTGGTTTTTTTGAAGTAGAATCTCACATGTAGCCCATGTTGATCTCAAACTTGTGATCTTCCTGCCTCTGCCTCCTCAATGCTAGAACTGCAAACATGCACCACCACAGCCACTCAAAAACATTCTTTAATAAAATGGTTCCAAAGAAAGCAGTCTAAATCAGGGAGGTGGCGCTGATAACTGTTTCAAGTCAGAAGTGCCCAAGTTCTGCTGGAACTTGAATTCCAAGCATCCTACCCAGAGGGGAGTGTGTGCTGTGTGTCCTGTAGCCATTCTTGGAAAGCTTTCCCGATGTGGGATGCAGACTCCTGGTTATATCAGGATCATACTTCAGTTTGGTGGCCTGATGGGGCAAGGCACAGAGGTTGACCTACCTGGCCAGGAAATATGAAGACCACTTCGCAAAGCAGTAGTATACACAACAGCTCTCTCTTCATTTTGTTTCCCGTTTCTTCTGTGTCCCTTAAGTATTTGAAGAGTAAAAGCAATTAAGCTTGTAATAGATGAAGGCGAAGGACATAGCAAATTCAAGACCCTGTGACTTTGCCTCCTCTGACTCTTTTAGCATTGGCTCTCAAAGACAAGCATCTGGAAGATGAGTTGTGTGTGTGTGCATGTGTGTGTGTGTGCATGTGTGTGTGTGTGTGAGTACAGATAGCATAAAATTCACCACCTCAATTATTAAATGTTCAATTCAGAGACTGGAGAGATGGCTCAACAGTCCTCTTCCAGAGGACCCGGGTTCAGTTCCCAGCACCCACATGGCAGCTAATACCTATCCTTAACTCCAGTTCCAGGGGGTCCATCTTCCAGTCTCAGGTGGGCACCAAGCATACACCAGGCATACATGTGATGCACTTACATACATGCAAGCAAAACGCTCATACACATAAAAATCAAAATAAATAGAAAATATCAAATGTTCAGTTCAATGACATAAACACACACACACACATACACATACACACACACACACACACACACACACACACACACACACACATGCTGTCATGAACTCAACCACCACCCGTTTCCAGAACTCTGTCTTTGTGAACTGAAATCCTGCAGTCATTAATGCTTGGGCCTCTGCCCTCCCAGCCCCTGGCCACCACCATTCTATTTTCTGGGTCTATGAATTTGACTATTTTTCATATATCACAGTCATGTAATCACACAGTATCTGTCCATTTCTGATAGGCTTAATTCACTTAGTGTGATATCCTGAAGCGTCATACACACTGTGAACTATGTCAGAATTCCTGTTCTTTTAAAGGTTGAATAATATTCCATTGGTTGGTTAAACTACATTTTTCTGATCCAGTTATCTGCTGATGGCTACTGGCTGCTGAAAAGGGTTTTGCCCAGAGATTTCTGTAGGCCATCCTTGGTACTTCTTGGCCACCCAGGGACACAGCACCTGGGCCTGGCTTCCTGTGAGGGAATCCCTGCTGGCCTGTGAGCCTCAGTAATGGCCTCCCTGACCATTTCAGAGGTAGCTGTAGGGATTCTATTGCTGGCATGTCATGGTGCCATCCCACATCCCTCAGATGCAGGGCTCTGGCAATTATAACAGACTTCTGAGACTCCCTCCATGCCACCCTTACTCCCAAATTCCTTTTCACATCAACTGACAGATTCTCTGAAATACAGATCTTCAAAAACAGAGACAGCACTTGGCATTTGGCCATTAAACTCACATCTGCTTTGATCTCCAGTCCAGCTTCCATTTGCTTTCCCTACAGCTCCTGCTCTTGGTGGCTGGAAGTGTGTTAGTTGGTAGGGTATTCTTTTGTGGTCTGGCAGGCCCACTCACTTGGCTATCCACAGCATCAAAGCAGGACCTTTCTTCCCCTGACTCATTTTCCTTCAGTCACAACAACTCTGATTCCCACCCTTCCCTACCCAGGACCCCAGGGTCCCCTGGCTCACAATAACTCTGATCCGCAGCCCCTCCACTCAGGACTACAGTATTCCAGGGCCACTGGCTCAGAAGCTGCCGAGATCCATCTTGCCAGGGGCTGGCTCTGGTTTCTTTGAAAAGACATGCTGCCTTTTGGAAGTGCTGTCTAGACTCTTCATATGCCCCAAACTCCCTTCAGCTCCAAGATAAAAACATAAAGGGAGGATTAGCTGGGAAAACTGTTGCCTGCTTAATTCATGTGTGGCTGCTGGAGGTAGCACAGAGTTGTAGAGAGAAGGTAGGGGTGCCAGGCAGGAACCGTGGGGTAAAAGTAGTTCAGAATCAAAGTGCCTGTGGGCCTGCTGGTAACAGGTAGAGAAGGAGCACACAGCGAAGAGGAGGGAGCACAGAGCCTCGGGGTAGGGAGCACACAGCTTCAGGGAAGGGAAGTAGAGCTGATCAGGAGGGAGCATAGTTGTGAAGAGATGGTGGGGTTCTAGGGATGGATGAGAAGTAAAACAAAAGTGACTCGGTGAGTACAGGCCGTGGGCTCACAAGGAATCCTGCTCTCCTGAACCCTCTCTCTAGGACCATTCTCCACGGCAGAAACAGAAGGGCTCCTGGGGTCTTTGCTCTCCTTGGCCTGCTCCTAGCAGGATGAACTGAAGGCTGTGCTGGCCCTTTCCTCATTGGATGGACAGCTGGGCTGGCACCTCTCTGCCTTTGGCCATTCCAGAAGGAAGTGGTAGTGAGGGTCACCAGCACCGGTACATGAAATCTTCTAGTGAGGAGTGTTTCCTTTCTCAGCTTTCCTTAAATTTCTCCTTTCTCAAGTTTTCCAGAATTCCACTTAAATTCACCCTTTAGTCTGTCTCATTATTTATATCCTTTTGAAAAGAGATCTTTGAAACAGGCCGTGCTTTTCTCCTGGTGGTCCTCTGCCTCAGCTCCCCGGCTTTTCCTGCCTTCATTGTCCAGCAGCCTGGAGGGTAGGGAAGGACCAAGTGCTTTTCCAGATGTGATTCAGAGCTAACTCCTCTTCCTCTTCAAACTGATCAGCCCTTTCAGCCTGGGGGCCTTGCTAAGTCTTTGTTCTGGTTATCCACTAAGTTACTGGGATTGTTTTGGTTGTTGCTTTGAGATAGGATCTTGCTATAAAGTCCAGGTTAGTCTTGAACTCCTAATCCTGCTTCAGCCTCTGGAATGCCTGCATTGCAGACATGCACCACCATGCCAGCCAACATAAGGCTCTCCTGAATGGTTGACAATTCTAGATGCCGGACAACTGCAGAGAATGGTGTTAGACATCTGCACAGCAGCCCCTCTCCAAAGGGTCAACTCTTTTTCTGGAAAAACGGGTAAAGAAGAGGTGCTCACATTCATGGCTGTGAAGACTCCAAAAGTGCATCATGGGAAGTCCCTTCTCCACAGCAGAAGGGATAGAAGCATGCTAGAGTTTTGTGCTCTCAGGCATTAAGGACCTGTTATTTATATTCTTTAGGGCTTTTGGCCTTGCTGGGCCTTGAGCCAGTGGAGATGAGTCGCACATAAGCAATGCAAAAGGTCCCTCCAAACTCCACAATCACAGCAAACTGCTGGATGGGCTGCGTGGCATGAAAGGATGATTGGGAAATTAGTCACGAGCCAGCTGGAAAATTGTATAGTCTCAACACAAGAGGAGAAGGAGGAAAGCCACGTCCTTGTTTGCCTTTGTGGAAGGTGTGGTGTAGAGGTCAGGGGCAATGCCTGGATGAAAAATAACGGGACTGGCAGGTGAGCAGACCCAAACTTAGGGCCTACAGGCAGGGGTTTGACTCAGTAGACCCTGGGTGCTCACCAGAATGCTGGGTTTACAACTGCTCATGGGGAGGTCAAGGTGGGATTTACGAAGTCTGAGGCTGATTTTATGCAAACAAAGACCTGTGGATTTTCCCCTCCTGTATTCTCTTCCTATTGTTATAAGTAGTTATTTCCCAAGATCATTAAAGAACCGAAAAAACAAGCAAGAGAAAGGAAAGGAAGACTAGAAAGGAGGAAGGAATGAAGGGAGAGGAGGGAGGAGAGAGAGGCTCCCTTCCTACCTCTGCTGGGCTGTTATCCCTGAAAACTCAGAGGGATGGTAGAATGGCTGTAAGGCCTATGGTTCCAAGGCCCTAGCCCTTGCATACAAAATTGAACTTTACAGATTAGAAGAGGCAGTTCATCTGGGGACAGTTCAGCAGGCTAAGGGCCTGGCAACTTGACAAAGCTTCTGTGTAAATCAAAAAATTTTTAAATTTTGGCTAATCATATGTTTAAGAATTGAGCTACAGCCCAGCCCTGCTAGCGACATTATTAATGTGCTCTGGGTTGATACCAGAGAGCAGCATGTCACAATGCAGGGAACAAAACACTTGAACTCTCAACTTAGACCCCCAACTGCCACTTACAGGTCTGCCTGGGTGATGTTGCCTCTGTGAGCCTCGGTTTCCTGAACTTGCTAGTGAGCTAATCATTTCCATCTTCCTGAATTGTCTCAGAGCTAGAGAAGCAGCAGATAAGGACTCAGGATGGCTGGCACATAGTAGGTATGCACTACACTTATGTCAGGAACACCTTCATCAACAGGATACAAATTGATTGAAGTCAGTAAGGGAGAAGAGGTGTTAGGCTCTTGAGGTGTCATGATGTTCAAGCGTTAATACCAAATCCTGTTTCCTAGTTTGTGTGACCTGATTCTTGACAAGAGATACAAAATGCCATGCCCTTCATCATAAGGGAACAGTATGATCAGGAGCCATTGTTTCCTGAATGCGGGGTAGGACCTTGTATCCTCTATTTGTTTTCTTATTTGCCTTTCCAGGGCCTGTTTACAACATACATTCAGGGCCTCAACGACGATGCTCTGAGAAATCTGAAACTAGCTCTGAGACATCTAGGAGATCAGGTGTCATGACTGAGCAGGCCTATGGGATGCCCAGCACCCAGATGTCAGGGGGCTGAGTAACACGTGAGACTGTTAGGAAGTCGGGGACACAGGAGCTCTTGGTCTCTCCTTCTGCAGTCCGGGCAGCAGACACCAGCTCTTGGTGGAATAAAACAAGTTTCTCCTTCTGTGACCTTTGTTCAGTGTGAACAGCCAGCAGGAGGAAGCTGAGAGCAGACTTTCTTCTACTGTGGGCACTGCGTTACTGGCTTTTGCTTCCACACATCTGTCCTCAGCCTTCCAGAAGCCCAGCCTACATCAGGCACTCATTCAAGACCTCTAGCAAAGGGGCTTGTGCCACAGGGACCCTTCGCAATGCCCCAGGACCTCAAGCCCCCACTCAGATAAGCTCCTTTTTCCTGGCCCTTATGAAAGCTGATCTACCCCTGCCACTGCCATCAAATGCCTGTTGACATGTGAGAGGTACAAGCCGGCTATGCAAGACACATGCTCTGGGCTTGAAGAACTGGTAGTTTGGGCAGGCAGTGCCAATAACTAGATGCTCACAGACCAGAGTCAAGTATGCACATCTATCAAGGGCAAAGGGGTAAGATCCATATGTCCCAGGCGCTTCTTCAGGGTCCCTAGGAGGAGGTACGATTTGGAATACAAAAGGTTCTCAGTATGTGAGGGCTTTGGGGGAGTTCAATGCGAGGTCTTTATTCTCTAGGTGTCAGCTAATTGATTATTAGTTTCCACATACTAAACAGAATAGAAATTTAGTACAAATGTCTACAGGGTCTACAGCCCAACCCTGCAGTGAGCATTTCAGAGGCTCCAGGTAGAATCAAGTTTTTTCTGAGTCAATATCCAAACAAACTTCTGGAAGCTGCTGTCTGGTGTGTGTTAGGAGCATTATGCATAGTCAGTCTGTATACCTCAGTTGGACCTGTAAGCCAGGGGTCACTCCCAGGACCTTGGCCTGTGGCATGTCAGGCAGCTGCTAAGAACACCCAGCTATATGAGTTCTACAAGAACAGCTGGATAGTGGCTTCCTGGGCCTTGCTGGCTAGCCCAGAGCTCTCCTGAGATGGCCCTTCAAACAAGCCCATGAAGTATGTGCTGAACAGCTAGCATCTGCCTTGTTTCCCTTTTTAGTAACCAAGAATTGAGTTTATCTTCTTTTCTACCCCCAAGTCTGTCTCTCTAAAAACAAACAAACAAGTTGGACATGGAAGCATTCACCTTTAGTCCTAGGACTTGGTAGACAGAGGCAGGCGGATCTTTGTGAGATGGAGGGAGGCCAGCTTGGTAAGGTCCAAGCCAGCTGGGACTACAGGGAAACACTGTTTCAAAAGAAAACAACAAAAACACCCCAGAAACAAAACGTGTGTCTCCCAAGTGGGGTGAAAGTAGACGGCTGGGCGGTGAGGACCACAGTGCATGACTGAGGTCCAGAGCAGTTCTGCCTCTGACCCTCTTTTCTTTGCCTCTCTCTTAATTCTTCCCCCTCCTGCCCTCCCCTCCTTTTTGAAATAAGATCACGTGCTTTCCATGTTTGCCTTGAACTTCGGATCCTCCCACCTCTACCTTTTGAGTGCTGGGATTACAGCTATGGGCCATCACATCCAGTTTACATGGTGCTGGGGATCGAGCCCAAGGCTTTTGGCATGCTAGGTAAACACTCTGCCAAGCTCTAGCTCTAATTTTCAGTGACTCTGGGTCATCCTCACTCTGATTGGGTTTGATATGGAACCCATCGCATGGCTAGCCCAAAGGTGGCATTTGTTCTGGGTTTCTGGATTTAGCTGCCCCGTGAAGAATTTTCTTCCAGTGTGTCCACAGCAAATGGCCCAAAGAAGGCATGAACGGAACATTTCAGTCCTTCATTATCTATCTATTTCAACAAAAGAGTTGAAAATCATTGACAGAAAACAAAATTTAAAGAAAAACTATTCTGAGATAGTATGCGCACAATTGCTATTGAGTCAGATTGCAATTGACCATTTCAACTCAAAATACAA